TTTCGTGCTACCGAGCCTGCACCCTTCGCTTCGAGCTTCTGGGCTGTGAATTGAATGGTGAGTGCTGAGGTGTGGCCTTCTGTGTCCTGACTTTGGGAGCTGCTCAGGGGCTCCTGTGGAGAATGGCCCAAAGAGTCTTGCTCAGGTAACCCCTGCGTGCTGTCTGCCAGTCCATTGCTCTGGGCATTTTGGATAGGCCTTTCCCTTCTCAGTATTTCTGTTTATTTCGTTTCCTGGTGCTTCTAGAACAGGCAATGAATTCCACGATTACAGGGAATTGCTTTCTTTGTTGCTTTGTTTCCAGGGCCTCAAACACATGGGTGCTTAGTAAATCTTTGATGAGGGGTGAATGAATGAATGAATGTATTCTTCATCCAAGATACCCAGCTGGGAGGTGTAAGCACTTTCCCTTCAGGTGTCTGCCACATTCATTGAGCAGTCATGTAGGTGTTTCAGACCCCAAAGACGGACCAAAAAGGGAGAGGTTGCTGCTGAGCCAGGGAGATTACCCTCTGAAGAGGTCGAGCTGACCGCGCCCCCCCCACCCCCCATTGCCATCTAGTCAACATCCTGTCTCTTTTGAGACCTGTTTCCCTTTGCAGCTACAGTGCCATCTGCTGGTCACCCTGAATAACTAGTGCTGGCTCTGCCTGGCTGCAGAGCTCATCATCTTTATAGACCTGCTGGCATGCCTGGCTGTGCCTCTTTTCCCTATTAATGGTACTGTTTCCTGTTCCTTCATTTTAGATACCACAGAGACTGAATTCTGCTCTCACTAGTTTTTTTCTCCCCTTTCATTTCCCAAGTGCTAGCAACTGAGGGCTTTGTGAATGCCAGGCACACACTCCACCACAGAACCATACCCAAGCCATGACTTTTTGTTTGTTTGTTTTGCTTTTTTGAGTCAGGGTCTCTTTGCATAGCCCTGGCTGTCCTGGAACTCACTTTGTAGACCAGGCTGTCCTCAAACCCACAGAGCTCCACTGCCTGCCTCTGCCTCCCGAGTGCTGGGAAAAACCATGTGCCATTCAGCCCAGTCCCCCCCCCCCCATATGGATTTAAGCTAGTGTGCTGCTATTACCAAACTTGGGCTCACAGTCTATACCATAGGAAGTCAGACTTGGCCACCTGTCCTCAAGAAGCCCACGGAAACAGGCAAACTAATAGTAAAAAGTGGGAAGAGATTGATTCAATAGCCGTAAGAGGGAAGATGGACAAAGATCCAGTAATCTCCTCAAGTTCATCTTTGGGATCCTGAAGTGAGTCTAAAGTTTAGAGGGCCAGGGACATGCACATCTAAGCAGTCTTGAGGCCTGAACTCGCCCACCGTTTGTTCATTTGTTGACTCATCATTGTCTGGGCTTCTGTCTCATTCTGGTCTGACAAGCTGGTAGGATGTAGAAGATCTTTTTTAGGGAGGCACACTCAGGGAAGCTTGCATTTCTTGGTGTCCATTGTTCCAGGAGTCTGATAATCAGATGGAGAGACCTGTTATCCTTCTCCTGGGCCATTGCCTTTTGTGTTATGTGATGTAGTGTCTGGCAAAGATTGGAGCCAGGTCCGGTCTGAGCCCTTTGGGTCTCATAGTTGCCAGGGTAGTGAAGCCAAGAGTGGTTTAGGACTCAGAGTCAGGCAAGCCGAGCCTCACACCAGTGAGCAGACTGTCACTGGCTTCCTTCCAGGTCTGGCCCTCCTTTCTCTGTGACCCAGCCTGTCACCTGGAGAGTGTCGATGCCCATGTGGTGTGTGCATGGTACATGCAGGTGGAGTGAGGCCCAGGTGTCCTGGGAACCCACAAAGCTCCCCACAGCAGGACTGTTACTTTTAGCAGATAGTATCTTTGGTGACTTGACTTTAATTTAGACATTTTCCAAGTTTCCCCTGAATATCTAGATTTAAGGAACAAAACAAATGAGACCTTTGACCTCAAGAAACTTGCATTCTCTCAAGGGAGTCCAGGTGAGATTAGCAGATAAAAGGAAGATCAGGAGCTGGGCAAGATGGCTCAGTGGTTAAAAGCACCTGCTGCTTTTCTGGAGAACCTGGGTTTGGTCCCTGGCACCTACATCAGGTGACCCATACGATGGGTAAGGCCAGTTCTGGTGGATCCAGTGCTCTCTTCTGGCCTCCCTGGGTACTGTGTACATGTGGTGTTTATACATACACTTAGGCACACACACCAATAAATAAATACGGTGCTTATCAGGTACACATAACAAACAAGTAAATAAATAAAACAAAAGGGGAAAGGTCAGCTAGCAGCAAGAACTCTGGAGGAGGGAGTGGTGGTGATGGGGGCAGTGTGGGGTTTCTTCAACTGGAGAGCCAGTCTCTGGGAGATCTTAAAATGTTCTAGATGGTGCATTACAAGGACAAAGATTGGGCTTGTTGGAGGATAAAAGAAATGCAGGAACTCGATGCTCCTGTGTGCAGGAAGGCTTGGAGATGGTGAGCTCCATGGGCCAATGTTTCAGCAGCATCTTCTAGCTCTGCCCTGGTAGAGTTTTTAATTTCACATTTCCAGTGCTGATGACTGAAGCCAGGGCAGATACTCTGCTACTGAGCTACACCCTGGAGTCTGTCTCTTTAATTTTTCTGAGACAGGGTCTTGCTACATAGCCCAGGTTGGCCTAATCTTGCAACTCTTCTGCCTCAGCTTGACAAGTGCTAGGATCACAGAAATGCACACCGTGCCTCACCTGCTTGTTTGTAAGGTTGCCTGTGTTCTCTGAGGAGAACTACAGAGGGCCTCATGTAACAGAGAAGGAAGAGGCTGACTTCACAGAGAGGGGCAAGGACGTCTGCATTTCCCAAGGCCATAATATGCAGTTTGCTCCCCAGAGGCTCTGGACACAGGGGTGGTTGTACAGGGTACACCCGAAGGAGATGAGGAGAATGAGTAGTCTCTGCAAAGCAATCCTGGGCAGTGGCCACCTCAGAATGTCCCTGTCCTGGACCCAAAGGATAAATGAGCTCACAGCCCAGGGACCTCTGTGGAAGCAGGTTGATGGCTGCCTGACCTCTGCCATCTGTAGGAGATGGCTCAGCAGTCACCTTCAGCATGATTGGGAGGAAAATGACAGGCATCTGAGGGACAGTGAGGGAATGGACTTCCCAGGTGGAAGTGTGGCTCTTCAGTCCTCCTGCTCCACTCTTCAACTCCTTGGGTTGTGGGGTGGGGAGGCAGCCAGGTATGATAGACACATCATCCTCCTGGGAGTTCACTTCCTGTTCAGCCTTTACCTGTTCAGCCATTCCCGAGAGTGACCCTGAGGGACACAAAGGCCACTCTCTGGGTATACCCAGAAGCAAGCCAGAAATGTTGGGGTGTGTCGAGGCCCTTCACTGGATCTTAAGGAGTACTTTTGGGAAGGACACAGAAGCAACCCTGAACTCCAAGAATTCCTGGGCCTCACTAGCTGTTGGAGGGTAGGAGTGTTCGCTACACATTGCTGGATGGCCCCATACGGGGCTTCACAGGTCTAGCATGGGGGATGATACCATATTTGGTCAGGAGCATGTGTGTGAGATATGGGCAGAGTGTGCAGTGTCTCTCTGCCTCAAGTTGTTCGTGTATAGAATGAAGTTGTTCACAGTTCCTTATTCAGTATGTTCTGTGTGGAAAGAAAACCCACGATGGCAGGAAGCACCCAGGTGTGTGAGGTGTCTTGACTTAACCCATATTCAGAGAGAGAAGAGGGAGTGCTGTGAGTGGCCAGGTCAGGAGGTCTCAGGTGATCTTCTAGGTGCCAGTTGGGGTGAGGGTGGGGGTTGAGTGACAGTGGGGAACAAGTGAGGGGTAGGTAGCCGTTGGCCTTGGAAGGCAGGTAGGCTTCCTTTGTCCAAGAAGATACCGAGCTGGGCATAACGGCTTTGTCCCGGCTATTTGGGAGGCTGAGGCTGGAGGATCTTTAGGGTTTTCCAGATAGGGTTTCTCTGTGTTGTCCTGGCTATCATGGAAACTGGAGGATCTCTTGAGCTTAGGAGTTTAAAGACCAGTCTGGGTAATACAGCTAGACTCGGCTCAAAAGACAAAACCAGAATCTGGCTTGCCACTCATGAGAGTGCTTAGAAGAAGCTGAGGGTTCTGTCCCAGCACCACATAACCTGGGGGTGGCAGGGCATGCCTGTGATCCCCCACTCAGGAGGTGTAGGTGAGGATTATCTTTGACCGCAAGTGAGTTTAAGCCAGCCTGGGCTGTATGAAATACTGTCTCAAAAAACAACCAAACCCAAACTAGACCAAAATAAACGCTGCTAGAGAACCACAGCCCTTTCTCCTTTATTGTCTGTACCTACACACTGGTGACAGTCCCTTTTGCCCACAGGATGTTCTGAGCCCCTGGGCCTGAAGAATAACTCAATTCCCGACAGCCATATGACAGCTTCCAGCACCTACAAGACTTGGAACCTGCGTGCCTTTGGCTGGTACCCCCACTATGGGCGGCTGGACATGCAGGGCAAGATCAATGCCTGGACAGCCCAAAGCAACAGCAACAAAGAGTGGCTGCAGGTGGGAGTGGGTGGGATTTGTGACCTCTGCTCAGCTCTGCCTCCTGGTCTGCAAGGGATTTCCTGAAAAGCCTAGATTTTCTTTGCTTTTTCTCTTTTTAACTCCCATGCTTCCCTTTTTCTCTTGATCCTGCTTCCACCAAGGTCCCAAGTGGAAAAAGGGTATGAATGTACACACACGAATGTGAGCATATACACAAACACTGCACACTCTTGGGAGTAGCACCATCCCTGTCAGCTGTTACATGTTTGGCAAGGCTTACTGGTGGACATCGGGGCAGGATGGCAGAGACCTCACTGCTTGAGCAAAGCACACGGTGTAACTGGCAAATCTCAGAGGGGGTGGAAAAGCAGAGGTAAGGGTTGCAGATGGGGAAACTGAGTCTTGGCAGATTGTGTGGAGCTCATCTCTTGGTTGGGGTGAACTAGGCTTGTAGCTTGGATCGGGGTACTGTCTGTCCAGGGGTCAGTTCCTAGGATGGTCAGGGCCAGGGACAAACACTTGACTGCAGGCTGGAGTGCTCAGTTGGAGTTGGTTTCATTAGGAGCCACCTGCTCTTGGGCTCTGTCTCAGGACCACATCAGGCTCCAGGCCCCCTGGCAGGTTTCAGAAGCAGTTCCCACCCCTTGCAGACTGTGGCCTCTCAGCCTGTTCATCAGACCCTAGTACACATCTGAGGCATGAGCTGCCAGAGTTGGCCAGGGCCTGAACCTCTGAAATATACTTCACTGAGTTTTATTGGCGTTAAACTGGAAGGAGTTTGTGTGTTAAAGTGTATTATTTATGCACACACACACACACACACACACACACACACACACACACACACTATATATATATATATTGGTTTTTTGAAACAGGGTTTCTCTGTATGGTTTTGGAGCCTGTCCTGGCACTCACTCTGTAGATCAGGCTGGTCTTGAACTCACAGAGATCTGCCTGCCCCTGCCTTCCAAGTGCTGGAATTAAAGGCGTTCACCACCAACATCCAGCATATTTTTTACATTGCATTTGTGTGTTAGAACCCAGGGCTTGGGTTACAGGTGGGCACCACCATACATGGCTTTATCTTCATTTTATAGATGAGTGTCTTAGTTAGGATTACTGTTGCTGTGATGAAACATCATGACCAAAAAGTAAGTTGGGGAGGAAAGGGTTTATTTGACTTATACTTCTATATTGGAAGGAAGTCAGGATAGGAACTTAAATAGGGCTGAAACCTGGAGGCAGGAGCTGATGCAGAGGCCATGGAGGGTGCTGCTTACTGACTTGCTCTTTATGCTTGCACAGCCTGCTTTCTTACAGAACTCAGGACCACTGGCCCAGGGATGGCATCACCCACAATGGGCTGGGCCCTCCCCCGCCAATCACTAATTAAGAAAATGCCTTACAGCTGGATTTTATGGAGGCATTTTCTTAACTGAGGTTCCCTCCTTTCAGATAACTAGCTGTGTCAAGGTGACTTAAGACTAGCCAGCATAATGAGAAAATAGGCTAACAGGTCATATGTTAGTGTGTTGACCTTTACACCTTCCTGAAGAGGCTCCAAGCTAGAACAATGTTTTTCTGTAGGTTGACCTGTGCACTCAGAGGCATGTGACGGGAATCATCACCCAGGGGGCCCGTGACTTTGGCCAGGTCCAGTATGTGGCATCCTACAAGGTGGCCCACAGTAACGACGGTGTGGAGTGGACCATATATAAGGAACAAGGGACTGACAAGGTGGGTGCCCTGTCTAGTTGCAATTCCTGGGATACTGCAGGGTTCTGAGGAGTGGGGAGGGGGCTGACTATGGGGTACTCCTAACATGCCAATTGTTTTCAGGTCTTCCTTGGCAACTCGGACAACAACTCACACAAGAAGAACATTTTTGAGACGCCCATCGTGGCTCGCTATGTGCGTGTCCTTCCTGTCTCTTGGCATAAGCGCATCACTCTGCGCCTGGAGCTGCTAGGCTGTTAGTCCTCTGTCCTTCCAGCCCAATCGACCAGGGGGGCCAGCCAGCGCTGAGATCTCCCTCCCCTGCCTCCTGTGCCTGCTGCCTCTGGCTGGCTGCCTTCTTAGCCCTTCCTCCTGATTGGATTGGGGCTGGAGGCAGGAAGGGGGAGGCAGGGTACCAGACTTGCCCTTCACCTTTTCCCTCGCCCTGGCCTGCTGCCTCTGGCTGGCTGCCTTCTCAGCCCTTCCTCTTGATTGGATTGGGGCTGGAGGCATGAAGGGGGAGGCAGGGTACCAGACTTGCCCTTCACCTTTTCCCTCGCCCTGCAGTCTCCACAGGCCTTCTGCTAGCCCCCTTTCTCAGGCATTCTGGGGAGTTGGATGGGTCTGAGATGAACAGGGAAGAAGACTGAAGTCCGGGTATATGGGCTATATCTCTACCAACTGCCCCAAGTCCTAACCTCCCTGTCAGGGGTTGACTCAAGACTAAAGTAATGGGACCTCTGGTTTCCTGCCCCTCTCTGCACACCACACATTCCCCCCCCCTCCACCCCATGTTCCATTCCAGGCCTCTGGGAAGAAGAGGCCCATGCCTGCTTGCTACCCTCCAGGTCACCAGATACTGCCTTTTACCTCCTCCTGAGACCTCTTTTTGATCCTTGCTCTGGAGCCTCAGATGACAAGGGGACTGGAGAGGCAGGTGGGCTCTAGCTAGCTGGCTTTGGGGCCTCTGCTGGCTTGCTACTCAAAGTTAATAGGCAGACTCGAAAATACATTGTGTTCTCCACTGGAACTTCTGTGCTATTTCATTGCCTTGTCCATGCCAGACTGTACTGTTCTCTGCCCCCACTCCTACCCCAGTCCTCCAGTGCCCAGTACTCTTATGTCACTTGCCAGACTGAAAATAGCTTAAGAGCAGCAGTGGGAGACTGGGGGTGGAGTGGGGTTAGGAGTAGGCTTCTCTCTCCTCCAGTGCTGACTCACATCTTCCCCTGTCTCTACCTCCTTACTGCTCTGGGTGTGACCTGCAGCTGCCACTTGGTGAAGGCCCAGGGGGAGCCTGGCAGCTAGGTGGCTCCTGTGAATGCCCCCTGTTCCCTTCCTACACTAAGAAGGTGGGCCAGGCCTGTCTACTGGCTTCTCCTTTGGCAGTTTCCATTTGCTTTGTAATGCCTGTGCTGGCTTGGAGAAGTTTCTAGAAACCCAACAAACATGGCTTTCAGAGAAAGAGGGCCCTGGTGATCTGGGCAGGGAGCAGTGTGGAAGGGAAGGAAGGGGTAAGGAAGGGGATTGTGGTCAGGAGCATGCCATTTCCCAGAAGCCACTGGTGGGAGGAAGGGGGGGGCTCTGCCCTGCATGTGGCTGTAAGAAGTGACCAGTAGGAGCTATGCTGGCCTATGCCCTGGTCATCTGGGGAGGGGTGGCTAGCTGGCTGGGAAAAGTCTGAACTGAAACCACCCTGTGTCCCAGCCCAGCTTCAGGAATGGTGCTGTGGCTCCCTGGAGAGCAGGAGGGCAGCTACTAACACATAGGTGTATCTAAACACACACCAGAGACTCACCTGGAAGTGCTTCTGAGACCGCCCCACTGTTACCAGGGCTTCTTGTGGGTAGGGCATAATAAGAGGCTCAGTGGTCTTCTGTCCATTATAGAGGGACAGGAGACTGCTCAACCCCGAGGGCATTTCCGAATGTTCTAGTTGCTTGAGTGTTTCACTGGACTTGTGTGGACTGAATTCAGAATCTAGTCTTTCTGGGGTTTGTTGGCTTCAGTCCTCCTCCCTCAGGGCACTACTCCAGGCCCTGCTCTGGCCTTCGCTGGGGACCAACTGGTGGTGGGAAAAGCATCCTTTCTGACACACTGCTTGGGATGGCTTTGTCTCCTGGAAACTAATCTATCACCTGGCTCAGAGCGCACAGCCTTTTCTGTGGGTCAGTCTTTGGCTGGGCTGGGAGGTGGGTGGGATGGTAGCACAAGCCCCCCACCTGGTGTGGAAGACTAGTATTGCCCAAGCTTCTTGCATGGTGCCTTTTCCTACCTTTGTAGTCTTGAGTGTGTTGGCCGCAGCCTTAAGAAAACCTGCTTTCTGAGATCCTAGCATAGAGTCCCTGACGTTTTTGGTTTCTTTTTCCTTTCCTGTCTGCACTCTAGACAAGCACATTTAGTATTCTGTCTGCCTCCTGACCACTAGAGGCTGTCAGCACCTACCCTGCCTCTGCCAGGGGTCTAGGCTCCTCAAGGCAGACTAACATGGTTCGTATCCCACCTCTGAGTGGCATTAGCCTCTGGTCATCTACAAAATGGAAACAAGGCTGAGTCCGGACATTGCTAGGACTAAAGGAGAGAGTGCCGAGAGCATTGATGCCAAGTCTGGCCCTTCCACAGCCCCAGGGGCTTGTGGGAGCCCCCTCACTGGTACTTGTGTCCTGTTTATATCAGTCCATCCATCCAGGGGACAGCTCCATCCCTACTTAACCTGCAGGAGAACCCTCACAGCTCCCCTTTGCCTATAGGCCAGGTATTCATTTTAGAGGGAACTTAGCTGTGATTTGGTTTGTGTCTGGCTGGGACACACACACACACACACACACACGCAGGGAGGAGACTATCTAGAGGTGTGTTAGAAAAGCCTGAGTTTCTGACTCTGTGGCCTTTCTCTTAGCCCTGGCTAAAGGACCTCCTTAGGTTTCTCTGTTGAGGAAACAGTAGGCCATGCAGGCCAGGGCCTGGACCTTTTGGACAGGAAAGAAAGCCTGCTGTCCAAACAGAAGCATCCTGAGAAGTGGCTGCCTGTGGGACATTTGTCAGCAGCCCTGCAAGAGGAGTACCCCATCCTATCCTTGCTCACCCCCACCCCAGGACCTCCTAGGGGCAGGTCGATGTGTGTGGCTAGCCCTCTCTGTGTGCCCAACCTCCCTTAGAAGGTTGTTACTGTTCAGCTCTCTTCAGAAAGCAGGCACGCATTACTCCTCTTGAACCATGTGGTCATAGCCCACCCGCAGAGCTCTGAGATTTTTTTTAGAAGCCGGGACGTTTTAATGGGACCTCCCACCTCTACAAACACTTCTGTGCCACCTCCCTTTGAGCTGTTCCCCCAACATGTGAGTCTCCACTCACAACTCGGTCAGCCTGCAGGTCCAGGTTTGGGGTTTGAACTCCAGCTCTAACAGCTACTGCTCCCAGGGGGCCAGGAGGGAAAGGGACTTTGTACCTTTAAGGGGTTGGTCCGCCGGGAGTGCGAGGTTTGTTGGAAGCAGCTTCCTTTGGGGCCATTCAGAATCCCGGATTTTTCTGCTACTTCAGACCTGGACAGCCCGTGGCCTCAGAGTCTCTCAGGGACCCCAAGCGTTTGAGTCGTTGAAGAGCCTGCTGGGGACGGTACACGTGGCTGCGGTGGCTGCGGTGGCTGCGGTCTGGGTCTCTATGCATGCAAGTTTCTCCCTTCCCACCCAGGGGACCCCGCGGTTGCCGGGAAGGAGGCGGGGTGGGAGACAGGGAACAGGGGGCAGAGGGAACTGGGGACTGAAGGGTTCATTTGTCATGTGATCAGCCCTATGGGCTGACTTGCGCCCGACCCCTTTGGGAGCTACCAAGAGGTAAAACCACAGTGAGCTCCGGAGATAGTGAAGTTTGTCGTCTTCTGCCTTGTTCCCACTGTCACAGTAGGTCGGTACCGGCTCTGTTTCAAGCATCTGTGGGATGCAGCGGAAGCCACCAGAGACTCTGGTGGGATGAGGAAGTGGGAACTGGGAACAACCTGCGTGGGGATGGGCTGAGGGTGCGTGCCTTTAGTCCACTCTGAACTTTTGGGGACAAACTCAGGTTTGTCCTGGCGAGCACCTGGAACGCCTGCCCTAGGGACAGGAGTGCACTGGGGCAAACCCTGGGTGCAAGCTGGCCTCTCCTAGGGAGGAGGCCAGGAAGGAGAGGTGCAGGCACTTGGACCCAACCCTATCCCCAGCTCTTTGGGTGGTCACCGGCTGCCTGCGATAGGGAATGCCTCTGCCATGTGAGAGAGGGGTGACTGCCCGAGTTACCCCGCCTTCCTCTAGCGACTTGCACCAGGAGGCCTGGAATACCGTAAGAAAACGCCCCTCTGTTGCCTCTGCCAGAACCTGGCGGGTGATGGTGGCAGAATTTCAAAGGCTTGATAAAAACCTGATTTTAACTGGGGCATTGATGTCAAATTCCTTCCTGAACTAGCCTGATCTGGGGGGCAATCCTGCCCTCTGCTGGTGTCTATGGGGCTAGTACTTATCTATGGCTCAGTTGCCTGACTGTGGCTGAGATAGGGTGGCATGCCACCGAGGTGCATTAGTGATAGAGGGGCTTAGACATTGCTTCTGACTTCCACCCAGGCTTCTGTTCTGTGGGTAACCTTAGCATTTGGGGGTCGTCCTTGTCTTCAGCTTCTAAGTTTCAGTCTGCTCAGAAGGCAGAGGGCTTTTGTTTCAAGAGTCCAGATGACTTGCTCAAAGTCACCCAGATGGTGGCAGAGCCAGGGTTCAAAGCCAGCAAGTCTAATTTGAATCTTAGGGTTTTATGAATTCTCCCTTGTCGAGTAGTTATTGGGCACCAGGCACATCATCTCTTGCTAACTTCTTTTAGTTGACCTAGTACCTCCCTGGTGGAAGGCTGCACACCCTGTAGGGCTAGCATTTCACACCCACCACTTGCATAGTGCCAATAAAGTAAGACTTAAGTGGAGTTGGGGGCTCAGGGTAGCTGAGGTCAGATGGGCTGGAAAGGGAGTGTTTTTGTTTGATATGGAAGGGTTTTGATGATGCACATTTGATTGGAGGCCACAAGTCTCCCAGAGGCATCTTTTGGAGACAGTAAATCCTGCCATACCTCTTCTGATGATTCTTCATGTCTCCCTTCTTAAAAGTCAAGGGATTGTGTGACAGAGCCTCTGGCCACCACATGGACATTGCTTCCTGATGCTGCTGGGACCCCAGCCTATTTGGCCTCTGAACTCTTTTTTATTGTTATTTTTATTGAGCTATACATTTTCCCCCCACTCCCCTCCCCTTTTCCCCTCTCTCATCCCACCCTACTCCCTACCCCACCACACTCCCCATTTACTCAGGAGATCTTGTCTTTTCCCCCTTCCTAGGCAGATCCATGTACGTCTCTCTTGGGGTCCTCTTTGTTACCTAGGTTCTCTGGGGTTGTTGGCCTCTGAACTCTTCCTGCTGTTATCTCTCCCTGCAGCGCTCTTCTCCCAGGATTCTCAGGGCTCTGGTCTTCTCAACTGTCTTCCTGACGTACGGTCAAGGGACAGCCAGGACCCAGACAGATTCCGAGCACTCAGCAAAGCCCTGGGTTCCAAGTACCCCATAAACTGGTTGTGGTGGCACAGACCTGTAATCCCAGCGCTTGAGAGGTAGAGGTAGGAGGGTCAGAAGTTCAAGATTGCCCTCAGTAACATGCAGAGTTCAAGGCCAGCCTGGGCTACATGAAGGCAGTCTTATTATGCTCCATCTTCCCTGTCATTTGCAGTCACATCTGTGCCTGCCACCACCTTTGTAAGACTGTGAAGCCTGGGAACACTCTGCTTTGTGTCCCTATTCCCTTCCCTACAACTGCACCTGGCTTGTGGCGGCTGCATAGGGAATATTTGTTGAGGAAATGAGGGCAGATCTCAGCTCTTTCATCTTCCTAAGACTAACTTTAGGCATGCATCTTAGCATTTCTGAGCCTCAGTTTTCTTGTCTGTACAATAGGGATGATCCTCACACTGCTGTGTGTAACTGTGGCTGGGAAGGCACATGGACAGTTGGAGGACAGCTCATAATTCACATCAGCTAAAAAGAATCCTACCTCTGTCATTTCGTGGCTCTGTGGCCTTTGGGTACTTGCGTGTCTCTGTTCACTTGTGGATTAAATAGAAAGAATAAAATTGTTTTTGCCAGTTATGATGTGGGGCCTCTTGGGAGGGCTGTAGGAGGTGCTAGATGTAGAAGTTCATTTAAAAACTAGAGAGCCTACTGGGTGGTGGTGGCTCACGCCTTTAATCCCAGCACTCAGGAGGCAGAGGCAGGCGGATCTCTGTGAGTTCGAGACCAGCCTGGTCTACAAGAGCTAGTTCCAGGACAGCCTCCAAAGCCACAGAGAAACCCTGCCTTGAAAACCCCCCAAACAAACAAACAAACAAACAAAACCTAGGGAGCTAGTCTGGGGCCCAGGCTGGAGCTTGTGAATGTTGTGAAGGGTCTCTGAGGCTGGGAGAGCCAGCCTTGGGAACTCACATTGTGTGGTGTTGGAGGGAAGTCCAGGTGTTTCTGAGCTGTGGCTACCTTCTCCATTACTGAAAGAGAGAAGGGGAACAAGGTGGGTGTAATGGAGAATTGAGTTGACTTTGCAGTTTTTCCCAATTCTTGAGTGTCTGGAGATGTCTGACTGTTGAGGAGCAGTTTGTTGTGTGAATTCTGATGAAGGCTGACAGAAAGCACCTAACTTCATTCAGTATATCCACAGATGTGCCTCACCACCCGGACTCCTGTGGGTTACTGTCCAGAGCTCAGGAAGCAAACAGATGGGGGTGTTTCAGAATCTTTGCTAGTCTGAATGCCCAAATCAACTTTCACCAATTCAACTCAAGGATACTGGCTGAGGGTGAGGGTTGTGGACCCATGTGACTGGCTCAAGGGAATTTAGCCCCTGAAGCTGTCTAATAAAACTAGGAATTAGATGAAGAAATGCCAAGACAATCCTGAATTAAAAAATCAAAATATAGCAGAGGGGAAATGTAATCACGGGCATCTGGCATGTCAGGCAACTGGTCTACCATGAAATGACATCCCAGCCCTGGTCAGACTTCTCATTTTGGCAAACTTGGCTCCTCCTACTCTCCTTCTCCCCACCCACTCCCTTCTTTTTTAGAGATTTATTTTAGGTGTATGAGTGTTTGCTTGCATGTATCTATGTATAACGCATGTGTTGGGAGAAGGTGTTGGACTCCCTGGAACTGGAGTTAGATAGTTGTAAGCCACCACGTGGGTGCTGGAAACAGAATTGGCTTCTATCAATGTTAGTGCACTCCAAGGAATTCCATCTACAATGAGGAAACTCTTGCTGTACGGTATGAGGATCTGCCCTCTGTCACTAAGTCCACAGAGAATCTGTGATACTGTGCAGCTTTTGCTTTGCTTTTTCTCTCCAGACCAGGTCTAGTGTAGTTCAGGTTTGCCTGAAACTAGCTATGTGCTATATAGCTGAGGATGACCTTGAACTCCTGATCCTCCTGCCCTCCACCTCCCATTATAGGCATGCATCTCCATTCCTGGCCTTGCTTGTTTTTAAAGACAGGCTTTCTCTGTGTGGTTCAGGTAGGTCTGGAACTCCATCTCCTCCCTCTGCCTCCCCAGGGCTGGGACTACAAGGTGTGTGGCATCAGGCAGTGCTTGTGGATGGTTTTAGCCAGGACTACTTTTGCTCCCTTTATTTAACACTGGGGTCCCAAGTCTTATGTTTTGAATAGTAGGCTCTATTTTCCTCTAACCTTGTAAATTTTTTTAGTGTGTAATTTTGCAATAATGTACATCTTTTTCTTTTTTTTAAGGATACAAAGGACACTGTGTGGGTGGGAGAAGCACCTGCACCCACAGGCTGACTTTCTACCTGGGAGCACTGGTTCCATGTGAACTGCTCTAGGGGGCCAGGGTGGTCAGCGGTGAGGTGGCCATGAGCCACCCTGTTCTATCTCTATCCACAAGCCTCTGACTCGTCAGCTTGTTTTCCCTCTTGGTTTCCAAGTTGAAGTCTAACGGAAGGGAAAGGAAACATCTTTTAGGGAGAGCTCTACAGCAGGCACCCATGTGTTCCCCATGATCTTCTCACTGCGTTTAGCATGGTAACTCCAGTCAAATTCCAACTGACACTTCCAAGCTGGATGACCTTGGGCAGTCTTTTCATTGGCTTTTTCCTTTGTAAAGCAGCTGACCTGTTGAACAAGTCTGAACAGGGGAGTGAGGATTGAGAAAGAAAGAGACAGAAGATGGCAGATAGAGTCGGGAGGGCTCTCAGCGAATACTGCAGATGCCTCAAATTTATTTCTCATAGCCCTTTTATACCCCAAGCAAAAGGGGAGGGCAAAAGACTTCCTTACCACGATACAAGGATCAGACAAGCACAATTATCTCCTTAATTCTCAAAACATCTAGTAATCATGCACTAAGTCAAAACTCCAGTGTCATTTGGTCTTGAAGAACAAGAGACATCATGGACTGGATACTAACATTTTTCTACAGGACCCCACATGACTATCATCGTCCCATTTCAGCAGGAAGTGTGTCATTTGGTCTTGAAGAACAAGAGACATCAAGTAGTAGCACCTTTGGCCAAACATCCTGTTATTTGACCTTGAGGAGCAAGAATAAGTTTGAACTCTCTGACCTTAAGTCAAGATAGAATGGGGTCACTGTGGGCTCCCACATACTGGGCTGAGGGCATAGCTTGGTAGAGTACTTTCTTAGCATACATGAGGCCCTATAACCCCAGTACTTGGGAGGTGGAGGCAAGAGGGTTAGGATACAGAGTAAGATCAAGATCTGCCTAGAATATAAGTGACCCTGTCTCAAGAATACATTAAATAAACAAAGACACTGATAACCTCATCTGGAGGGTTGTAGCAAGGACTCAGATGATAAGCACTCATGAAAGTCGGCTGCTTTTGCTGTTATTCTAGCAGCTGATATGTATTAGTTATTTCTTGAGGCAGTGACCAAATGCCTGACAAGAAATAGCTTTAAGGAGGAAGGGACTGGCTCACGGTTTGTGGGGATACAGTCCACCGTGGTGAGGATGACACGATGGTAGAAGTGACTGGAGCAATGGAAGCATGATATAGCTGGTCATCACCTCGGCAGGCAGGAAGTAGACGTATTTGGATGGAACTAGGGTGGGTCATTCTCCACAACCCCATTTCCTCTGTCTAAGACCAGCGCAAGTGTGTCTAACCTTTTGACATTGCGATATGACATGGTCATTTACATAGCTCATGTTTGAGAACCACACAATCAAATTAAAAAAATAGATAAAAGTAAAAAGGCACAGGGAGGGCTCAGCAGTCAAGAGCACTTTCTGTCCTTTTAGAGGTCCTGAGTTCAGTTCTCAGCACTCATATTGGGTGGCTTCACAACTGCCTATAACTCCAACTATAGGAGATCTAACACCACCTCTGGTCTCCATGGGCACCTGCTCACATATGGCACAGCAAATCCCCAGATCTCATAATGGTTTCAGTAAGTTTTGTGATTTTTTGTTTGGGCTGCATTCCACAGTCTCCTAAAGCAGCACTGCCTGATGGGGACTTAAGTATTTAAACACACAGCTTATGAGGGTGTGTCACGCTCGAACTGTAGCAGTGTGAAGTGAGTGAGGGCCTTCAACACAGTGAGGCTGCGCTGTGTTGACAAATGCTCAATGTGCTGTAGTTTCAGTTCAAGGGTACTTGTCCCTGGGTCATTGGTGGTAGAGGATGTCCAGGCTGCAAGGTGGCTGTGGGTCTCATCTCTGTGGAACCAGCAGGTTGGAGAGAGCATCAGGATATAGCCTCTCCGGTAGGCCTCACTGCAGGCCCAGACCCACACAGGCTATTTCTGCTCATATAATGTTTTGCCCGTATCTGGGAGCAAACTGGCACCTGATGGAAGTACACCAGGCAAGAGTTATGATCTCCACCTCACAGCTGCAGCCATAGCTCAGAGTCACACAGTGAAGAGCAGCGGGCTTCCGGGCAGTATCTGCATCATTAACCAACCTCAGATGGATAGTCAAGCAGAAAAAAGTATAGACATTTTTTGTCACTAGCCCCCCAAACAACACGATATAATAGTCACTATACGGAATTAGATATAAGTGACCTAGAGATGACTTGCGCGGTGTACAGGAGAATACGGAGAGGTGATATGTCAGTGTGATGCCACTTCATTTCAGAGTGTCTTGAACAGTGGCAACCGTGAGGGTCTTGTGAAAAACTGCTCACTGGTACTGGGGGATGGCTGAAGTGGAGTTAGTTTTGAACAAGGATCTTCCAGTTCCTGATCAGGAGGCTTTGTTGAGTCAGCAGAGCTCTGCCCTCTGTCGCGGCACAGTAACTAAGTTTAGACCTCAGCTTTCCTGCAAGTACATGGAAGAAGAGAGTGAACTCAAACCTCAGCTCTCTCTGCATCCACTCCTGCTTTCCAGCAAGAAATAATTGCTCTGTAAACAACAATGTTCCTTCAGAGTCTGGTCACCCTCACAGGCCAATATTTGCTTTGTATTCTCCCCCTCTTTTCTTCTCCCTCCCTCCCTCCCTTCCTCCCTCTCTCCGAGCCCCTGCCTCCTCTCGTCTTGTACACAGACATTCTCATAAGGCCACATGTTTACAATCAATGTGGAAATTGTGTGTTTTGCTTTGTCACAAATGACACCCTGAGTATCCTCCCACATCCCTCCCCATAACCATACAGTTCTGTTCGCAAAGGTCTGTGGGCACTCTGCTCTTGCTACATGGAAGCCTGCCTTCCACCCGCCTGCCTCCTGCTTGCCTCCAAAAGGGTGTTCCTGAGATGTGAGTCTGACTCTGGAACTCACCTACTTCAAGCTTTCGTCTGCAGTTATCAGGACAGAGAGTAGGCATCAGGCTCACCTCCTCCCAAGGTACTCAGAGTTCCTACTGACTCCTTCTCCCATGTCAGTAAGGGACTGGGCAGGAAGCAGAGTTCACTCCAGATGGTTGCAACAGGGAGATTTCAATCAAGGGATGGCTTCTAAAGAGCAATGACAGGCATAAAACAGAGACGTTTCACCCCTGTTGGGAGGGTGTGATCACTGGCGGGGAGGGAGTGGGGAAGAAATACTATCTCCTTTCTTCCACATCTTGTCGGTGCTTCCCATCGACTAAATCCATTTGGAAGTGGGGCAGGACAAGTGACCCACAGGGATGGATATGTCCTGACAGTGGGCCTGGGGAAACAAATGGAAAGCATCCTTCATGCCTGCCCCTGGCCTCTGCACCTTGTGATGCCTGTGCCCTACCAGGACCAGTTTGCCCTTTCCACCCTGAAAATTGCTGGCTTCAATATTCCTTTGGGTACTTCCATCTTTAGACATGGTCTTGTGTAGCTCAGACTGGCCTCAAACTGTATATGTGAGCCAGGATGGCCTTAAACTCTTGATCTTCCTGCTTCCCCCTCCTCAGTGCTGGGATTATAGGTGTGCACAAACAGCATTTGGGGAGCCGTGTTGGTAGGCACTCAGGAGACAGCTGGCCTATGGGCTGTAGTTTGTTCGTTTTGTTTTTAAAATATATTAAAGTGGAGGCAAGGGTGTAATGATTTCACTAGACCCAAGATAAGTAGTAAATGGGTGTTTAATGGGGAACATTTATGCAGATAATAATAAAGAACCTAGGGAGTGCCTCTCTATCCTTCCTACCCAATTGGCTGACCCAAGAGGAAGAGCCTGCCCAAGCGAGACCACGCCCACGCTTTCCACTTCCATCCGCCTGAAGTCACACCCAAAGGGTGTGACCACTGTTACAGGTTCACTGGCAAGACGCAGCTACTTTAAAGTATCATACTTTTTGAGGTAGAGGCAGGAAGATCAAGAGTTCAAGACCATTCTCTGGCAAGCTCACTAACCCTCTTTAAAACAACACCACCTCCCCCCAACCCCCCAAACTTCTTAAAAGAATATTTATATATATGTAGGTATGAACATACACACACCATAGTGCACAGGTCAAGGTTAGACAATATTGTGGAGTTGGTTCTCTTCCACCTTCTGGAGGTTATGGCTTATAGGGGTTGAACTCATATCTGCACAGGCGGCGTCTTTACCCGCTGAGCCGTCTTAGCCTCAGATGGTTTTTGACCTTGCTGTAGTCTTAAAAATAAATGTCTCATTGTCATAGCCTCCCCACACAGACACTTCTGTGTTGGAACAGGTTTCGTGGTGTAGACTTATTGTTACTAAACATGAAACCTGCCCTGGAATGTTCTATTCTAGTCTCCCCTGTTTTCCTTAAAAGGTGCTGTTCATAACCTTTGATCTGTTTTCCTTAAAAGGTTTCCTTAAAAGATTCAGACTGCTTGGGTGGTCTCGTGTGCCTATTGCCCATGGGTGCAGTTCTCCCCTATGAAGCTTGTTCTTGCTGGGCTCTGAGGACAGCATCTGGAGTGCGGAGCTGTTCTAGGATGCATTGTTGAGCGAGTGTGTGAGAGGGTGCAAACAGAGGGGTCCCAGACCCCTGTAGTGGGGCTTCTGTAATTGGCTTGTTTTCTTTCTCTCTACAGTTGCCCTTGGGTCCAGCCTTGTCCAACATACCTTGGTCCTGCCACCATCCTGGCCAGGATGGGCCTGCTGTTCCTAGTCTTGCTGTTGTCACTTTCCTGCGTCATGGGACTGCCATTCTCCAATGGCTTCTACTATTCCAATGGCCTGCATAGCAGGACCTTGGGCCATGGCTATGGGGAAGGTGGGTGGCTCCCAGGCCTGGCTCCTGGCTTCTGGCTCCTGCTGTGATATGCAGGTTTCAGACTGGGACAGAGACAGCAGGATCTTCCCTGTCTGGGACTCCAAGGGTGAATCAGACTTGCTTCTAAGATGGGAGAAGATGGTTTAGATACTCTGAGTTTGCTGGTACCATACACACAGGACCAAGTTCTCTTGGGGTGGCCCTCATTCTTAGAACAGCTAGTTCTTTGTGATCCAGCCCAAGTGTCACCACCCCAGGGTCCCTTGCAGAACAGACACTGGAGTCACAGAGATATGAGTCTGAATATCAGTTGTATCTCTTTTGGCTGGGTGGCCCCGGGCAGGGGACTTTTGAGATCGCAGTCACTGTGTAGCTTCAGTGACTTCTTCCATCCTATCAACCTAGTTCTGTTGCTCAGGGAGTTCTGTCATTTGAACCCTGAGTTCTGACACTCTCCTGCCTTGGTCAGAATAGCTGGGTCTTTTGGAGGAGCACTGCTAGACAGTTGGCCCAGATTGTGAAAAGGAGGATGTGCTGTGTTCTCTGGAGGCCATTGTGGAAGGGTCTCAGGAACACTTGAAACAGGGCACTCACTCACTCACTCACTGTATCTGTCTTGTCCCTTGATGAAGTTCTTATTGGCTGTTATGGCAGCTAGCACTTAAAATTAGGTGTTTTTTTTGTTTGTTTGTTTGTTTGTTTTTTTTTTTTTGTGAGACACTCACATAGCCTGTGCTCCCATCAAACTTGATCTATAGCTGGGGACAGCCATGAACTTCTGATCCTTCTGACTCTGTCTCCCAAGTGCTGGGATAACAGGTGCAATTTTACACTGGTTTTGATGCATTGTTGGGGACTAAACCCAGGGCTTGTGCCTATTAAGTAAGCACTCTCCTAACTGAGCCACACCCCTAGCTTCCTATGCTGGCCTTGAAGTTTCTATGTAGCTGAAGACAGCTTTGACTCTCCTGTCTCTGCCTCCTAAGGTCTGTGATCACAAGCAGGAAACACTAGGCTTAGCTTGTCAGTTAGGTTTTGGTGAGAAACAAACTGCTGACCCAATAACTGAGCCCTATGGCCCAGCGCTTTGGTGTTAGCTCTGTTTCTTCTGGTCCTACAGCCTGCTTCTCTTTGGGGCTGTGTATCCCCAGTCTTCCTCAGAGTCTTGGGGTGGGGGAGAGATGGGGGGAAGTGTGGGGTAGGGGTAGGGGAGAGGTAGGGGTGGGATAGGAGTGGAGGTGGGGTGAGGGAGAGGTTGAGAATTAGGACAGTTCAGAGTTTCTTGGCTAAGAAACTCTGGATAAGATGGATGAATAAGATGAACTGAGTTTTCAGTGTGGGTGTTGGGAGAGCATCCCTGAGGGTCCCAACAGTCGCTGAATGTGGGATCTGGGGGTCATGAAGCCACCTAGTACATCTGAGCCTTGATATTAGGGAAGGCATGTGCTGGTCTAGCAGCTGCAGCTCGGGTAGGGAGTGCTGATAGAAATAAAGGCATTGATCCTAGGGACCCTTGCTTACACAAGGGTCACAGGAGACAAGGAGGCCATGGCTTAATAGCTGTTTTTAGAAATTGGTTCCCCCTTTTCCCTTTATTTTTGAGAACTTCATATAGGTGTACAATGAAATATGATCACATCTATTTCCCATTTTACTTCCCCAACTTTTCTATATCTCACAATGTCACCCTCCTGACTTCATGTGTTTTTTCTTTTTCTTTTGATATTGGTCTCAATATATCTCCTTGGTGGCTTGAAACATGCCATGCAAACCAGGCTGGCTTTGAACACACAGAGATTGGCTTGCTTCTGCCTCCCGAGTGCCAAGATTAAAGGTATATACTACCAAGCCTGACTATTTTTGTTTTTTTATAACCCATTAAGTCCAGTTAATGCTACCCATATGTACTCCTGTGTGGGGCCATCCACTGGATGGATGGATACCAGGGCCACATCCTCCATAGAAAATGATTCTCTTTCCCCAGCAACAACTGCCAGCATCTCTTCTGTAAGGGGTGGGGCCCGGAGATCATCTCTGGCATCTATGCCAGAATTCTGGCTGGTTTGATCTTGTGCAGGTGACCACAGGTAAGCACAGCCTCTGTGAGTTCCTGAGCGCAATAGCCTTGTCCTGTCCAGAAGACAAAACTCCTCCCCGTCTGCCGGCTCTTATGTCCTTTCCTCCTCCTCTCCCACAATGTTCTCTCGCCCATGGGTGGTGGTTGTATGGCTGAGCCTCTTACTCTCAGCTCTTTGATGATCTCATCAGTGATGCTTCCCAGAAAGGGTAGGCGTAGTTCTGCAGTGATGCGGAGATGCCTCGTGCTAGTCAGGCAGAGTCAGAGATCCAAAGCAGGAGAACGAGGGGTTCTGTTCTTCCTGGTGTCCCCTCTGTCTCCTAACTATCCCATCTCAGGACTTGCAGATGACCTGCTATTGGGTAGAGGGTCACCTCCCAGGTGGTTGGTGTAGGATGATGCCAGCTGAGGAAGACAGACTCAGCTTCCCATAGTCTCTTGTGCTCTAGGCAGGCAAGGCTGGGCTTGTGCACGTAGTGATTGGCAATGAATGTCCCTGGAGAAGCCTCAGAACAGGCACAGTGGGTCAGTCATTTCTACCTTTCATCCGAGCAGCAAGCAGGTGGCAAGGCCAGCACAAATTCAAGGAACCGATGGTACCTTTTTCTTTCTTTCTTTCTTTCTTTCTTTCTTTCTTTCTTTCTTTCTTTCTTTCTTCTTCTTCTTCTTCTTCTTCTTCTTCTTCTTCTTCTTCTTCTTCTTCTTCTTCTTCTTCTTCTTCTCCTCCTCCTCCTACAGAGTTTCACTGCATGTAGTCCATGCTGGTCTCAAACTAATGTTAATCCTCCTGCCTCAGCCTTCCTACAGGTGTTTGCCATCACACACAGCTCAGTGGAAGAGGCACGAAGTCACATGGCTGGGTAGTGGGTATGTGGAGGAGTGGAGCAGCAGGCACTTGGAGGGTTGGGGCAGGTGGCTTAGGATGAGGGTATGTATGATCCTTGTAAAACCGTTGGTGCATCTGTGTCCCACCTTGCTCCCAGGCCTATTCAATGGAGTGAAACTGGTGGTAGAGACGACCGAGGAGTCCCTGTTCAGTCACCGAGGAGCCAGTGTGACCCTGCCCTGCCACTACCGCTATGAGCCAGCCCTAGCATCCCCGAGACATGTGCGTGTTAAGTGGTGGAAGCTATCAGAGAATGGATCCCCAGAGCAGGATGTGCTGGTGGCCATTGGGCAAAGGCACCGCTCCTTTGGGAACTACCAAGGGCGAGTCCAACTGCGTCAGGGCAAACAGCAAGAAGTCTCGCTGGAGCTTAGGGACCTGCGGCCGGAGGACTCTGGGCGCTACCGCTGCGAGGTCATTGACGGGCTGGAGGACGAGAGTGGCCTGGTAGAGCTGGAACTTCGGGGTGAGGCCCTGACAGATGCCACTGGGACCCAAGGGAGGGGGAGAGGACCCAGAGAAGGCATAGACCTGTATACTTTACACAGGTAAGCACATCTAAGTCTCAAAACAACCCTAAAAGGAAATTATTATAGTATCATGGCTCTTGTTTTCCTGATGAGGAAATGAAGAGAGATCAAGTAACTTATATAAGGTCGTGTAGCTGACAGGTGGCAGAAGTGGTGTTTGAACCCAAGGAACAACTTTCAGAAGTCACAGCCTCCTATTCCTTCTTATTCAGTCTCGTTCAGAAAGAGGGAAATGGGAGCTGGTTCCACAGCTCATTGGATCTAGAACTGGGGTTCTTACAGGGTTAGTCAGCAAGACAGTTGAACAAGGCAGGGCCAGTGGGTGACGGTAGGGACTGTAGAGCCCCGGGAGCACTGCTGAACTCCATCCTGTGTAAAGAAAGCCATTTAATTCAGGCTAGTTATGATGCCAATTCAGAATGCCGACTTGTTGCTGTTAGATTTTCATATTTAAGTATAAAATTGGGTGTGCGCGCATATTTGTGTGTGTGTGTGTGTGTGTGTGTGTGTGTGTGGTGTGAGAGATAAGAACACAGCATCTTGGTCATGCTAGGTAAATGGTCTGTCACTGAGCTATAAAACCATGCATTGGGATCTTTGGGTTTTTATATAAAAATCTCCTATTTTTTAGAAAAAGACGTAGTGCTGTCTGAGCCAGCCAGAAACTATGAGCCAGATGGCTCCAGGTTGATATCTCTTTGTTGTTCGGACTCCTTTGTGTTTTGGGTGGGGCAGCATGCTTTCATCTCTCTCCTCTAACCCCATCTTAGCCCACTCCTATCTTGGCCCCTGGGCAGAGCTCATCTGTGAAGCCCTGGGTCTCTCGAGTACAGACAAAGGAATAATCAGGCAAGTAATGGCAGTTCCTTTGTTACCTGCCTCTAGTACTGAGAGTGAACTTGCCTACTGGAAAAAAATCCCCCTGAGTCTGTAGCATCTTTACCATCGCAGCCTACAGGGCCTAACTGGTGGCTCAAAGGGGCCAAACTGCTCATTCAGAAGTCTGGGTTATCAGAGGGAAAGGTTATCAGGGACAGCCTAGAGACAGTGGCTCAGAGGAGCCAAACTGCTCATTCTGAAGTCTGGGTCATCAGAGGGAAAGGTTATCAGCGCCAGCCTAGAGGGGATGGTGGCTCAGAGGAGCCAAACTGGTCATTCTGAACTCTGGGTTATCAGAGCAAAAGGTCATCAGTGCCTGTCTAGAGAGACAGGGAGTCCTCAATACTTTCCTCATTCCTAGGGTTTCAAGGAATGGGAACTTAGGGCAGGACCAGGCATACAATCCCCCCAACACCCCTGCCCTACCCGTCCAGTTGACGACCATAAGCTGTGCTGCTCCCTCAGCCTGGCTGTACCAGGTGCCTGGCCACAGGGTAAAGTTTATTCAAGGTTTTGCTTCTAAACAGCACAAGCCAAGGAGGGCCTCCTCCTGGACCTTTAGGCTTTTTCTAACTTGATATGGACTGAATGATGCTTAAAATCTTTACACTGGGCTGGGGATATACATCAGTCAGAGAATGGTATCTAGTGTCAATGAAGTCCTAGGTTCAGACCCAGCTCACAACAAAAATAAACCCCCAGCTTTCTATAAAGTAAAATTTCGAACATGCACAGTAACATGGATTTTATTTGTGCTTTTGTTTTCTGAGATAGGGTCTCACTCTGAGGGCCACACTGCTCTTGGTAATCCTCCTGTGTTAGTCTCCTGAGTGCTGGGGTTACAGGTGTGAAGCAGCACACCCTGCTAGAATATTAACTTTTGAGGGGAACATGTGACCTTGTTAGGAAGGCCACCAGGAAGGAGGCCCCCTGCCCCAGGGTGTCCCTGGCCTCAGGACTCTTTTACCTAAGGGCCCTTCACCACCCTTTTGCCTGCAGTTTTAGGGGTACCTTTCTCTGTATGCCAGGATGACCTTATACTATGATACTTCTCAGTCTCAGCACCCCTTACCTCCAGTGCTGGGATTAGAGGCATCAGCCACCACACCCAGCTTCTTTTGTTTAAGAAATTTCTGCACTAAGGCTTGGTGGCTCATGCCTGTAATCTCAGTGCTTAGAAGGTTGAAGCAAGAGGATTGCAGGTTTGTGGCCAGCTTGGGTTACACAGTAAGACTCTGCCCTTTTCTTTCTTTCTTTCTTTCTTTCTTTCTTTCTTTCTTTCTTTCTTTTTTTTTTGGTTTTTCAAGCCAGGGTTTCTCTGTGGGTTTGGAAGCTGTTCTGGAACACTTCCACACTGTTATTCATTGAAGGAAGTCAGGACAGGAACTCAAACGGGGCAGGAACCTGGAGGTAGGAGCTCATGCTGAGGCCATGGAGAGATGCTGCTTACTGGCTTGCTTTCCATGGCTTGTTCAATCTGTTTTCTTATAGAACTCAGGACTACTGGCCCAGGGATGGCATCACCCACAGTGGACTGGGTTCTCCCCCATTAATTGCTCATTAAGAAAATGTTATATCGGCCTTCATGGGGTGGGTTCTCCCCCATTAATTGCTCATTAAGAAAATGTTATATCGGCCTTCCTACAACCTGATCTTATGAAGACATTTTCTTAATTGAGGTTCCCTCCTCTCAGACTTTAGCTTGTGTTAAGTTGACATAAAACCATTGAGCACAGCCCCCTCTCCCCCCAAAGGAACTTTCACACTATGCGCTGATGACACACACATCTGGCCTTTCCTGTCCGTGGTTCTTCCTGCACAAATTAAACCTATATGTATGGGCCAGTGAGATGGTTCAATGGGTAATGCCACTTGTGACCCAAGGCTGGCAATTTGAGTTCAGGTCCCAGGCCCCACATGGTGGAAGGAGGTAACTGATTGCTGTAAGCTGTCCCTTGACTTTCATGCACATGCCCTCAAATGAATGAATGAATGAATGAATGAATGAATGAATAAATAAATAAATAAAGCAATTAGAGAAATAAACCAACCCATAAATCAAAAGTATGCCCCCATGTCCCAAATGCAAAAAGTTTCAAAAACCAAGCCTTGAGCTCACAGCAGGCCAAGTACCATGCAGAACTATGAGGATGAAGTGATGTGTGGGGATCTTAAGCAGTCTACAGTTAATTTAAAATATATTAGAGGATGTGCAGATAGTGCCATTTTATATATAGATTCTCATAGAACCGGGCAGAGGGAGGATGGCCTCATCTTCTATCCTATTCTATAGTTGGAGACATCACTTGAAGGATTAATTACCTCACAAGCCAGTATGTATTTTCTGGGAACTCTGCTCAGTTCTAGGAGGAAGGCGAGAGGCAGGGGAAGGCTTGCCATGGGACTTAGACCTTGTAGAGGAGGTCAGGGGTTTGCTGAGTTACCTGATGCCTGCAACGGTGTCTGTGTGTTTTGGATGCGGCGTGCATCCCAGTGAAGGTGGGGAGCTCTGGCTTCCTTCTTCTGACCCCTCTGAGCCCTTCCTTCCTTTCTAGGTGTGGTTTTTCCCTACCAACCCCGAGAAGGGCGCTACCAACTCAACTTCCACGAGGCCCAAAAGGCCTGCCAGGAGCAGGACGCTGTGGTGGCCTCTTTTGAGCAGCTCTTCCGTGCCTGGGAGGAGGGCCTGGACTGGTGCAATGCCGGCTGGCTGCAGGATGCCTCCGTGCAGTACCCTATAGCGCTGCCCCGGCAGCCCTGCGGAGGCCTCGGCCTGGCGCCCGGTGTTCGCAGCTACGGCCAGCGCCACCACCGCCTGCACCGCTATGATGTGTTCTGCTTCACGGCTGTCCTCAGGGGTGAGTGGAATGGCCTGGCACAGACCTGCCTGCTTGATAGTCCTCTGGAACCTGAGGGAGGGCCAACTCATCTGTGAAGCTTCCAGAGCCTTCTCTGCCTGCCTCTTGACCCGAGGTCTGAAGCGTTAGCATTTCCCACCGCTTTGCTCTTGATGCTTCACAGCTGCCATTGGTTATTCATCAGACATCTTCTGAGTATTGGGCTGTGGGTCAGCACCGACAAACCATTTCTTTCTCTAAACACCAGCCTTATCGTTCATTGAAAGACAAATGAAAACAGAAATGTGTTCAGTACAGAAACAAAAATACTCAGAAGTGTCTGGCCGGGCTAGGATGTAGCTAGGCTGGTAGAGTTCTTGCCTAGTGTGTACAAGGCACGGGTTCCACCCCTAGTACCTCCTGAACTGGGCATTGTAGTGTAATCTCAGCACTTGGGAGATAGAGGCAGGAGGATCAGAAGTTCAAGTTTAAGGTCATCCTCAGCTACTTAAAAAAAAGTGTCTGCTGGCACGTAGTAGGTGCTCACATAGTAGGTGCTCGGTAAGTGGCAGGTGAGAGACTAGTCCAGTCTAGGTGCCCACTCAGAATGCAGCGGGGGAGTACAGAAATGCCTAGAGCAACCCTAGTTCTGTGGCAGGTGTGGAGGTGGGATGAGGCCCTGAAAGGTGCCCCCTCAAAGTGTCCCATAGAGACTTCCATAGGGCAGTTTCTCCCTGCCTGTAACAGGCCCTGCGGCCTCCTCTGCTTTACAGCATTCAAATGCCCCACTTTCCCACAGGGTGGGTGTACTACCTGGAGCACCCCAGGAAGTTGACGCTGCTGGAAGCCAGGGAGGCCTGCCAGGAAGATGGCGCACAGATCTCCACCGTGGGCCAGCTCTTTGCTGCTTGGAAGTTCCGTGGCCTGGATCGCTGTGATGCTGGCTGGCTGGCAGATGGAAGTGCCCGCTACCCCATAGTTCACCCCCGTCCCAACTGCGGGCCCCCTGAGCCTGGAGTACGGACATTCGGTTTCCCAGACCCACACAGCCGCTATGGTGTCTACTGTTACCGCCAGCGCTAGCATCAGGATGGCCAGCTGCGCATCCTATCCTGCCCCTGACTTCCTGGGCCGACTTTCTGACACAAGGGCCCACTTATCTCTTGTGGGTTGGCATTGCTTAGTTTTTTGTTTTTTGTTTTTTTCAAGACAGGGTTTCTCTGTGTAGCTTTGGAGCCTGTCCTGGAACTAGCTCTTATAGACCAGGCTGGTCTCAAACTCACAGAGATAGGCTTGTCTCTGCCTCCCAAGTGCTGGGATTAAAAGCATGCACCACCACTGCCCGGCTTGTATTGTTTTTATACATCCCAGTTTAGACATTTTGTTTTTGTTTGTTTGTTTGTTTTTCAGATAGGGTTTCTCTGTGTAACAGTCTTGGCTGTCCTGGAACTCAATTTGTAGACCAGACTGGTCTTGAACTCACTGAGATACGCCTGCCTCTGCCTCACAAGTGCTGGTATTAAAGGCATTGGCCACCACTGCCTGACAATGTAAACATTTTAAAGATATTACTATGATTTTTTTTTTTTTTTTACAGACCAGACTTTTAATTCTCTTGGCATCGCTGTCTAGGGCATTTGAGTTCACTGGGTCTTAAAAGGCTCTGCCATGTCTGGTACAGCTGGCATCTCTAACCTGGGGAAACTGGTGCCCAGCATGAGCAGTAGCTGCAGCTATCCCCCTTTCCTTGGCTTCTAGGAGGCATAAGGCTGAGTGCTGAGTCTTTTATTTCTGCACAGGTCTTTAGATTTGTGGGGAGGGTTAGGGAAGGGAGAACATTCCCTCTTCTCCTGGTTCTAGAGTTGGACTGTCCTTTCCATGTCCCTGTTGGGAGTGACCCTCTGGGTGTGTGTAACTCTCTTTGGCCAATAAATGGTGCTATGATTCTTTCCTTCCCTTCTAGCCGACCTCTGTGTCTGACCCATTGTCTCCTTCAGTCTCGGGACTGGATCTCGACCCAGGGTACGTGTGGGTCACTTCTGTCTTCTTGTCTTCCCATGGGCTGCCCCTGTATGCTGGTTTGGTTTTGACCTTGTCTATCCTACAGCATACCCTGCCTCGGGTGCTGGCCCAGCTGCTGGGGTTCTGGCTCCTGTATTGGCCATCACCACCCCATGATGGCCCATTTTTCAGGGGCTCAGGAGTAGAGTAGAAGGTGCCTTTAGTGAGGCAGGGGCACCAGTGCCTTCTGAAGGGTCTCAGATGCTGAGAATCCATGCAGTGTATTTGTTCCTCACCCCAACAATGGTGCTTCAGGAACCAGACCTGTATCTTATCCAGGTGTTCATCAAACATGGTTTCACTCCAGCCAGAATGAGGTGAACAGATGTGACTGGACACACAGGACTCACACGATTTTGGGGTCATTTGAGATCAAAGCATGACTCCATGGAGGTCCCAGATCATGGTCACCTCAACTTTTGCTTAAATAAGAAATAAAATAAACTTAAAAAAAAGGAAAAGAAAGGAAATAGATCTCTTCCAATGTCTTTATTATTATAATTATCATAATCTTTAGTTTTCAAAAATATAAATAGGTGCACGGAACACTGGTGCCTGCACCGTCCCGGGGTGGGGAGAGGGAAGGGGACGGTGGAGCACCCCTGGGATGGAAGTGCCCCTACCCAGTCCAGCCGAGGAATGACAGCTGCTTGGGTGATGGTTGACCCAGGTGAGAGGTCACTAGAAGAGGGGCCCTGGAGGGAAGGCAAACCTCATTTCCCCTTGGCCAGCCTGTCCCCCACCCCAGGCTCCTTCCCTCATAGATGGCACAGACCTCGGTTCCTTTTGTCCAACATATTAAGCCATAGTTAGTCTCTTCTGAGTCCTTCATGCTCTGGGGCCACCCTACCTCCCCCACACCTTGTCCTGTCTCCTTCCAGCTCCTCCTCCTACCTCCCTAACTTTCCCTGGAGGTGAAATAACCATTGCACTCTTCTTGGGTTAAGTCAGGAAACAAAAAAATAATCTTCTTTATTAATTTAACCCCTTCTTTCTTACCCTGTCCCTGCACTGGTCCCTGGAAAGGCACGGTGGGAGATTGAAGAAATGTCTCTAAACTCAGTCCACGGGTTACAGTAAATTTGCTTTGGCATTTTTTGGGGGCGGGGGCAGAGGGAACAAATTAGATATAATTTGGGTGGTCTGGGGAGTTGGGGCACACACAATGTGGGGTATTTTATTTTTCCTTCTTTAATGGATTCCTTATATGACAAAAAGCGACAAGAAGAAGACATCATCTGGCTGGGATTTACGGTCAGCCTGGCTGGCCGCTGGGCTCAGCATCCTGGGGCACATGGTGGAAGCTCCTCTCAGTGGGCCATGCTGGGACGGCTCCTCCGTGTGGGTCTTAAGCTCCGCTTCTGTAGCCTGCGCTTGTACATGGTGGCTGCAGGGAGCGGGTAGGATGGAGAATAAACAGTGAGCGAGGAAGAAGCACGGCAGTGAAGCTTAGACTCTTGTAGCCTTCCTGTGTTGGCAGGGGGCCCCCCCCCCGGGGGGCCG